CTCTAACTCTTTTAATTCAGTATGTACACTGTTTTTCAACTGTCTTTGAATTGCTCTCCCGGGACAATTAAAGTTGTTTTGAATTTGAATTGAATAACTTGGTGTTTTGCTCCATTGCTGCATTATTAAGCTGAGTGCAGCTTTCATTCTTAAGTCAGTCTACCAGTCCCTCGGTATCTTGCACATGAGAGTGACCTTCATGCATGTGCAACCCTGCTACTGCCAAAGATTTAAACACAAACACAGTAAAAACAACATCATTTGGTCTTTAGAAAAATGCAATCAAATATGTCTGGGAAAGTCCAAAAAAAAACCCTCCAGGAGTGAACCCAAGATCTTCTTCCTCTTGTGTTTGAACTATATTCCACGATTTTCATCAAGATTCATGACTGTGACCACTTGAGATCATTGGATCAGTGGATGATGCTGTATTCTTAGAAAGATGTTTCACAGGGGAAAGTTAGAAGGGTGTCAAGAACATTCTTCCTAATGTGAGGGGCCATATATCTTGCAGATGCCAGTTTGGGGTGGGAGTCAAAAAACAATAATCAGAAACTGAAGAAATGTTATGTGTCTGTTAGAGACATAAACCACAACCACAACCACCAACATTTACTTTCCACAAGTAAAATTAAATGGAATATTTAGTGTGGCACTCATAACCAGCTCCTATTAAAGCACTGGTATATATGTGTGTGTGTGTGTGTGTGTGTGCGTGTGTGTGTGAGGTTTAATAAATGACTGATCAATAATCAGACATTTATTGTGATAATCATCAATATCAACTGATACACAATGTTTTATCATGATATATTTTGGCCACATCGTCCAGGCCTGTTACCACAACAGTGGTTGAACATTCCAACAATCTGTTTGACGATAATTGCAGAAAACTTCCAGTATGTGGACTCAAAGATCACGTATAAACCTCAAATCTTTAAAAAGGTAAAAAACACAAAATAATATAATGGGCAAATCATCTGATATGAGGACTGATGAAGTGAAAGAAACATTTACTTAATCCAGTTGTCTCCAGATCAAAGAAGACGACGTTGGGAGACATCTGCCGATTGAACAGAAGAGAAGAGAGAAGAGAAGAGTCAGTGTTGAATACAAACTAAATAACAAAGAGATATCTGTTGGAAAGTAGATTAAAGCTCACCGGGTCACAGCAGAGAGTGGGATAGTCAGTAAGCTGATGAACCTCACTTTCTTTAGTTCTTTCTCTTTGCTCCTGTCCCTGCTCCTTCGTGTCTCTGCTCTGTGAAAGGTTCAGAAACTCAAACGTATTTCCAGCGAAAGGGGAACAGTCTCCGCTCCTCCTTTAGTTTCAGTTTCGGTCCTGTAACATTGTGGCAAACTTTAACTATTGGTTTTAAATGAATGAAGTGAAATCACAAAACAATGAATGAATAAACACATACACTACAAGAAATGAAAGTGAAAATATTAAAACCCACATAATCGTCCAAACATTTCGAACTCAAAGACAAATGTGCTGTTGTCATCTTTTAAATAGGACCCACAGTCAAATATTAGGAGTGCCACAACAGAGGTTTCTTTGTTTGCTTTCAGTATTACTCAACAACTAACAATTTCCACGAATTAACCCATTAAATTTGAATTCGTTTGAATTCGGATCAGGGGGCAGAATCCAGGATTTATTGTTTTCCACATTTTCATACAATTGAGAACTGACATCATGTGAACTTGAAGTTGATGTTTCTATTACCTTTCAGGAATTTTCTAGATGATGAATAAAGAAAAAGATTCAGATTAAAAAGATTCATTATTGCGCCTTTCATGTCACATTTAACGAAAAATCATATTCATGATTTTTAAAAGACATTTGAATGCCTGTTTCACAAATTAAAATTCAGTCAGGTCTCTCCAGCACTACATAACAATAATTGCCTTCGCATTATATATAAATATTTTCCTTTGCCAAAGAGGTTATGTTTTGTCTGCAATCATATGTTGTCGTTTTTTAAGCAAATAATGCAAAAACTACTCCAACTGCTGCATTCAACACCATAATCCCACAACACCTCATCTGCAAACTTGATAAACTAGGGCTCAGCACCTCCCTCTGCAACTGGCTGCTGGACTTCCTCACTCAGAGGCCACAAGCAGTACGTGTCGGCAACAACACCTTGAGCAGCATCACACTGAGCACAGGGGCTCCCCAAGGCTGTGTGCTCAGCCCCCTGCTCTTCACCCTGCTGACACACTACTGCACAACATCCTACACCACCAACCACATAGTGAAGTTTGGGGACGACACAACTCTGGTGGGTCTCATCTCATTTCTCAGCAACAGACCTCTGCGTGTCAGGATGGGAGGACGCACTTCCTCCACTCTCATCCTGAACTCCGGAACCCCACAGGGTTGTGTCCTCTCCTCTTCTCCCTCTCCCGACTGCTACCCCATCCACCCCACAAACACCATTGTCAAGTTTGTCATTGTAGGACTGATAATAAACAACGATGAGTCAGCCTACAGAGAGGACGTCAAACGCCTGACAGACTGGTGCTCCCACAATAACCTGGACCTAAACACAAACAAAACAAAAGAAATTATTCTAATTCCACATCACAGCCGACCTCACCTGGTCCGTCCACACCTCTAATCAGGTGGGGAAGGCGCATTAACGCCTTTACTTCCTCAGGAAGCTGAAGCAAGCTCACCTACCCTGCCCCCTGCTGGTCAACTTCTACAGGGCCACCATAGAGTCCATCCTGACCTACCTGCAAAGGGTGGTGAGGGTAGCTGAAAGAATCATAGGGACCACACTACCCCCTCTCAGAGACATCTACACTAGCCGACTCCTTAAGAGGGCCAGCAACATTTAGCATAGATCCCACACTCCCCGGACATGCCCTATTCACCCCCCTCCCCTCTGGTAAGAGATACCGTTCTCTATAAGCCACAACCACAAGACTGTTAAACAGCTTCTACCCACAGGCCATCAAAGCCATCACCCCACCCCCACCTTCCAAGGACTGTTAAACAACACACACACACCCCCAGTCTACCCCACGGGTAAACATTCAATGTGAATCTTTTTTATTTTTCTGGAACTGTAATTTTTGCATAAAATCATTATTTTTTTTGCACTAATACTCAGGAGGACTGTCATATTGACTGTCCTCCTTCATACCATACTGCAGTCAAGTGAGCAGACGTTCGTCTTTTCGTGGTCAAGTGAGCAGACGTTTGACTTTTCCTGATTTCAAGTGTGCCCGTATTACAGAATGTATGGCAAATGCAGGTAGTCCATGATACGGAGTGAGCCAATCTTTTATGCTACTGTAAAATCACTTTATTCCATAATTTCTGACAAAGGCTGTCAAAAGTTGTCCTCAGGACCATCCTGACTGTTCACTCACTCAGTATCAAGCATATTTACTGTATCTAACGTCTGCTCACTTGACCGCAGTAGCTCCAACCACCAGGCTGTCAGGAAGCTAACACACCCCACCCCCTACACACACACACACACACACACACACACA